TCTCTAGAGAAGTCTGGGTGCAAAGAATCAAAAGGCTTCCAAGCTTCCCATCAGCAGGATGTCTTATATTACCATCATTGGGCGTTCATTAGCATGCCATCTCTTTGCAGCAGCCGTTTCAGGACACATGAATATTCCTCTGAAGCCTAGGCTTTAAAGGAAAGTACCATAAAACCTTTGCAGGAAATTTAGAGCTTGCTTTAGTCAAAGGACCAGCACTCTTCCATCTTAAAGACCCACAAATAGAGCAATTATCGGCATTCGCATTTTCTTTCCAAAATAACATGCAATCATTAGGACATGCATGTATTTTTTCATAATGAAGACCCAAATCTGTTATCATGTTTCTAGCCTTGTTGAAAGATTCTGGTACCTGAGCAAAGGGAAATGCCTCTTTTATCAACTCTAACAAATCAGAGAAAGCCACATTGCTCAACCCATGCAAGGATTTAAGCAAGAACAATCGAATAGTGAAACTCAGTTTATTGAAATTTTCACACCCCGGATATAACTCTTGTTTTCCTTCCTCCAGCAATTTGAAAAACTTCTTTGCATCTTCAGATAGTCTTTCCCAACTCCTTCATCATCCCCTGCCTGACCCTTTATATTTCTAAATGTATCATGAAGTAGTCCATCAATATCGTCACGCATGGTAGAACCTTCATCATCATTGCTTGGATGAGGTGTATTTCTTGAGGAGAATCCTTCCCCGTGGAAAACTCATTTGGTATAACCATCAACAAATCCATGAACAACCAAATGATCCTCCACCATATTTCTATAATACCAACAGCGATTCATGCACTTTTTGCAAGGGCATAATATTTCATTTCCTTGGGCGGCTCGGCTCGTTCAAATGCCTTATCAAGAAAATCATTCACTCCACGGATATACTCATCCGTCCATCTCAGGAGATTCATCCAACTTTTATCACCATTATCCATAGATATCCTATACGATAAAAGTACATCAAATAAACTAACCAAATAAACCAAAAGCATATTAATTTAACATTAACCACTGCTTTTAAGGGTGGAACTTAGAAAGTCACAAAGAAAGTCACAAACATTAAAGCAATTTAAGGCCTTTAAAAGTTAACTTCTTAAAAATTATCTCTTATAATATGAATAGTTAAAAAATTCAAGCCTTTACAAAAAAAAATATTACAATCATCTTCAATTTCAGAAGCATCACATATACAGGCAGTGGCACTCCAGAAAGACCATTGAGAAAATAACATATACTTAGACAAAAGAATTAAATAGTGCAAACTCAGAAAAACAGAATCTTTACTCAATTAATAAACCAACCGGACAACTACAAAAACTTCACCTCAATCCTAAGCTAGTTGGGATAGTCTATATAAACCCTCATCCAAATAAATTTCAGAAAATTAACTTCAACCACCTTCAGTTTCAAAAGCATAAAAATAAAGAAGCAATGTCACACCAGAAAGACCTAGACAATAAGTTTCAGAAGGCTAAACTACACCCATTTTCAGTTTCAAAAGCACAAACATACACAGTCAGTTGCACACCAGAAAGAAGACAATTTGAGTGAAAGCAGAAGGTTTACCTCACCAAATATCTTGCTTCTTCTTTCTTCTGAAAAAGGTGTCTACTTAAAATTAGTAACTAGATAGGTGAAAAACAGAATCTTGACTGAAGAAACCTGAAAATAGACCTAGGAAACATTACAATCAAGCTCCTTGTGCTTAATCAGATTTAACAAGCTATAGTTATTTATCTAGCACACAAGTGTTAGTTAAGCAGTAACGTGGTATTAATGGCTAGAGTACTATTTATAATTCATCATAAATCTTGAAGCATATCATTTCTTGAGCTTTTACCTTCTGAGTCAATAAGTGAATTTCTCTGGGAGATGCTGACTCTTTATAAAGAAATAACACATGCATACTTACAACTGGACATATGTTTTTTTTATTCCAAACAACTGGACATATGTTTTAATTCAATTTAGTTAAATTTTTCAATGAGTAGCCAAATCATTAAGAAGGCAAATAAGTTAGCAAGAAAGCTTAAAGCATGGTAATATCTCACTTGACTTCTTCATTTTGCGTCATCTTTATGGTTCAATTGCTGGCGTTCACTTCTCGGATAAAGTGTAAGTGATTCAACTAATATTTGCCTTTGGTTTATATTTCTGGTCGACTGT